CTTTCTTCATATTAGGAAATCTTGCAAATAGGCTTGGCTTAAGTTTATCCTTCTTTATGGCTGGATAATATTCCTCTGTGTCTGTATACCACATTTTCTTTTTTTTCTTCTTCTTCTTCATTGAGTTTATAGGTACATTTTAGGTATACAGCACAGTTACATTCGTTATTGGGATCTTGTACCTCTACATGACAGGTCTTGGTTCTCATTTTTTCCCCTTGTCCCTGCCCTCCCTTCACTCCTCCTCTCTCCCCCTTTACAAACTCTTCATTTCCATTTTTTTCATTTTTTCATATATTTTTTCCCTTATTACCTTTCCCCTACCCTTCCCACTTCCCCTACACCTTTAGCCCTTTTCTTCCTATTTCACATTGTCAATTATACCATTAGGATCTTATGTACTATTATAGTTTATTCACACCAGAGAAACTATTCGGTATTTACACATGTGTGACTTATTTATTTCACTTAAGAGTATAACCTCAACATGCATCCATTTTCCTATGAATGACTCTAATTTCTCATTCTTTATGGCTGAGTAGTATGATCCTTGCTTATCTTTGCATTTCAAGCATCTATAATAATACAGTGGATACAACCAGCCTGACATATGAACAACTTGGATTGTGACCAGAATTTTAGTTTTAACTTACAACCAGAGTCTTGAGTTATGACCCAAATGCCAGATGCTTGTGCTTTCAAAAGGTCTCGAATACAGATTTAACCTTTAAAGAGTTCTGAAAGGACCATTATAACATCCTTTCCTGTGTGAGGTTAATTGAGAAATCCTGGGCCAATGTCTCTCTAAGGACACTGAGATCTACTTGTATACAGGAGAGAGACTTTGAAGGCTGCTTAGAGGAGCCTGAGCCTTCAACTGACCAACTTCAGTTACAGCCAGTCCTCTTGAATGAATTGAGTTCTTAAGTCAAGGCTCCACTGTATCTACAATGTGGAACTGCTCAAAAATCAACAATTGACACCATTCCTTCCCCCTAAACAGTAAGAAAGGTGAGGTATATCCACACTCACCACTTTAAACAATGTTAAATAGATAAATTCTGAGAAGTCATGCAAAGACAATTAGATCTAACATTAGAAAATCACTACCAACATTTGTGAGAATAGTTTCAGTGAAATAATAAAAATGGGATTTGGAGTAAAGAAATGTCACAGGCACCAAATTAGATATAGTTCAATAGCATTTCAGGCTTCTCTGGTTTCATATAAATTTTGATTCCATAACCTTGGCATCTCTGAGATAAAAATTGAAAAAAAAATGTATCCTCTTCCTGTCCATCACCATGACTTAGACCATAAATCCAAATAACTCTTGAGTGCTGATGTAATCTACCACCCCTGTGTCTCCTCTCCTCTTACTTCCTGGTTACAAGGACTTCTGAATCAACTCCCTGTGTATTCCATGGAAAGGGAGAAAGACTGGGCCTCACCTATGAAGCTATCAGCACAGGGTGCAGTATCAGTCCATTCTGAAAATTCCATTTTCTTTCTTATCTCTGCACCCTCCCCTATTAGATTCCCAGAATGGACCAACTTCTCTGCTCTCCCCCATTTACCTGCTAACCCAAATTTCACCTATACACCAAGGACCAACTAAAGTTCTTTGACAAAAACATTCTTCTAAAGTTCCTCTAAGCATTCAGCCTAATCTATTTGCTATATTCAATCCACATCATGACTTATCTGAATGACTAACTACTATCTTTGATTCTATCATAATTATTTCATATATATTTATCTTGTCTTCAAATATAAGTAGACACTATCCAGGTCACAGAGACTCTGTCGTATTTTTGCACCCCTTAGCTTAACTCACAAAGCTAAGTTGAGCAAGAATTTTACAAATACCAACTGACAGAGTGAATAGACAGCATAGTCATATGCAACACAAAGGCCTTTTTCTGATGATGTAATCCCATTTCCCATCAATCACAATTCAGCCTACATATTCTACTTTTTTCTGTTGGTTTCAGTTAGAAGTCTCAGGTGTAACAGCTGCACAAGTAGTCAATGATCAAAGTGTATGGAAGGAGAAGGCTCTTGCATTGCGAAAAATGATGAAGCATGTGCAACCATATACTACTACAAGAGAAAGTGAGGCTGCTACGGATTCCAAAAGTGCCTTCAAAGAACCATTACCCTGTGTGCCTGAGAACATGTTAGCTCTGATACTGGGAAAGGCGAGGAATAAAAGTGGGAGGCAAAGAATGATTCCTTTCCAAATTCTCATTAGAGGGTTTGGTGTCCAGAGCCAGAGTAAGTTGGGATCTTGACCCTAAGAAGCCTGGGAATGGGACCTAATGTAAAGTGCTTTTCCTCTTAGTAGTGAATTTCAGGAAGTCACTATGAAGACAATCTCCTTCAGCACTTATAATAGGCTTCTTCATTTTTAGGAAACAAACATCTGTACTCAACACATATGTGCAAATATAAGTTCAAAGAAGAACAAAGCGAAAAAGGAAACTTGTTGAGGGTGACAATGTGCTGCTACAAAAATTTATGTAACATTGCCTAGATGGAGGACAGGAATTCAAAGAGGATCATCTTCTCTTCAAGATCTACAAGCAAATATCAATCAAGATGAGCAGCTTTCCTTACTACACCAAATTACACATTGGCTTAAGAGCCCTGAGAGAGCAACAGTGGCTATGCCTTTGTTGCAATGGAAGTGCACCCCATCATCACCATTAGACCCTTACAATCATGAGCACTACAGAAAGACTCCTTCATGAGCTATTACCCTACTGCATTTTACTCATTTGATTTTTGATGTATAACCCTTTAGTATCTAAATAATGGTTCTCAAAGATTTTTATATCCTAACCACTAAAGCTATAAAGGTTGCTTTATGTGTCAAAGGGGACTTGAAAAGGTAATAAAAGTTAAAGACCATGAGATGTGGAGGTTATTTTGCATTATCACTCACAAATGTCTTTATGAGAAGGAGATAAGAGATTTGATTATAGAAGAGGAAGAGCTAGGCCAGGGATTTAGCTCAGTGGTTCTGTCGCCTGCCTCACAAGTGCATGGCCCCCAAGTCTGATCCCCAGTACAAAAAGAAAAAGAAAGTAGGAAGAAGGAGAAGGAGAAGAAGAGATAACATTATGATGGAAACAGCAATGGGAGTGATACACTTTGAAAATGGAGCAAGGGCCCAAAGGCCAAGAAATACAGGTAACCACTAGGAGCTAACAGGTCAAGGCAGTGGATCCTCACTTCAGAGTCCCCAGAAAGCAGCCTTGCTAACACCTTCATTTTAATCTCTCATTAAGCAGTTGGCAATACTGCCCACATAGGAGCCAGTCTAGTTTTCTCTGCCTAGGAGCCTCAGAGGAGAAGAATGCACAGCAAGTGCCATGAATGAATAAGGAGATCAACCTTTGACTTTTAAATCTCATCACATGCTATGAAGCAAATGCTTCCTTTCCACTTCCTAATGCAACCTATTGTCCTATTAGCTGGATGTATCCATTTCTTATTAGTTCTTATAATCACTGAAATTCTTTTTAAGAAAAAAGTGTTGTCTCCTTCTTAAAACTCTCCTCACTTAAATTCCATGACTGCTGTCTTTCTAGTTCTCTACCTACCTTTTTCAAGTCTCCTGAAAGAGAATTTCTGTGGATATTGGTTGGGTTTGTTACTGTGCGGATGTTTTTATTTTTGTGCCCTTAATTTATGGGAACCCCACGTATAATATGGTGTTAAGTAAAGAATCCAGTATTATTTTCCTTCATAGTATGAGTCAGATATTTTAACACTAATATTAAATCTGTTTTCCACTCATTTTTTATTCTGTATTCTTTGTTTAATCACACATAGAAAAACAAACAGAAAAAAAAATTACTCCTTACCCAGGGCTTTACTAAGCACCTAGGGAGGCTTTCTGGTGATTGTCTCTCTCATACTTCTGACACCACACATGTGAGCTTTCCACACCAATGGAATTCTTCAACTCTCCAATGGGCACTAGCTAGATGTCCTACAATTTAATTTTGACACTAAATGCCACAGTCCCATAAGACTACCCACTCCTTCAGAGGCCAAGCTCAAGGGACAGAAACCCAGGTTATACACCACTTCTGTCTAAATTGGATAGTTCCATATCCCACGTTCCTTTCCCCAGGTTCAACTGTTTGCTAGAATGCATCACAGAACCTAGAAAAAGTTTACTTGCTATTATGAATTTATTACAAAAGATCTATTAAAGGATAGAAATGAATACCATAATTAAAAGGTACATATAATGAGGTCTGAAAGAATCCTGAGCACAGAAGTTTCTGTGCCTGTAGATTTTGTGATGTATCATCCTCCCAGCACATAGATGCTTTCCTCTTCAACAGCCCAGTGGCTCTATATAACCCTTTGGTTAGGGGTTTTTAATGGATACTTCATTATGTAGGCATGATTAGTTAAGCCATGGCAATTAACTGATTAAGCTATGGACATTAATTAAACCTCTGGTCCATCTCCCTCTTTCCCAGAGGTCAGAGTGTAAGGCTAAAATTTCTAATTTTCTAATTACACTTGGCAACCAGCCTTCATTCTGTAGATATCAAGGTGATGCCCAAGAATTTCTTATTAATATAACCTCAAGTGTGGTTGGAGACTGTTATGAATAACAAAAGACAGCTATTTTCAGAACTGGACAAAGGGCAGATTTTACAACAAAAGATGTTCTTTTTACTATCACTGGGTAAATTACAAAGAGTTTAGGAGCTCTGTGCCAGGAGCCATGTGCAAAACCAAAATAAATCTGCTCAGCTTCTGATGGGATAAATCCCTAAAAACTAATTTCAACTTGAAAAAAATCATTAAGTCAAAAATGCATATATAAGCCTAAGGAACATTAAACCTTACAACATAGTATACCACAGAATACCCATTGTTAACCTTCATTATTGTGTGGCCAACCGAGAGCTGCCTTTGGCTGCTAGTGCTCAGCATCACAAAAGAGTATCGCATCTTATATTGTTAGCCCAGAGAAAAAAATTCAAAATTTAAACTATGAATTCCATTGAACTTTATAACTTTTGCACTATCATAAAGTCAAAAATTTCATCCAATGCACCATGATAAGTTGAGGTTTCCTGTATTAGTCATTTTTCGATTTCTAGAACAAAATACCTGACAATGCAACTTAAAGGAGCCCAGACACCATTAAAATCATCATTACCATCTAAAATCTCATGAACATAGCCTCCACTGTCTTCATTCCTATCTATAAGATGATCTCCTCTACTCCCACGAAAATTGCTCATAAATCTCTACCAGTAGCATTATAGGGCTTCTCTAACCTGCATCTCCAGATCTTTGCAAACTCCCACAAACCAATTCCAAAGGCTTCTAAACCACATGATCAGGTATAGTCACAGCAATGACTCCATTTCTTGGTACCACTTTTCTGTAATAGTCACTTTTTTTGTTTCTGGGACAAAATATCTGATATATACAACTTAACAGAGATTTACTTTGACTAACAGTTTCAGAACATGGTCAGCCAGCCCCAAAGCAGGACCATCATAGCAGAAAGGCATAATGGAGAAAAGACGCTAACCTCATAGCAGCCAGAAGCAGAGGGGGCAAGGAAGGGATGAGGTAAGACAGAGAAGAAGGGACCAAGTAAGGCAGAAGATAGACAGTATTGGGGACATCCTGGCCTGAGGCTCACAATATACAGGATGCCTTCTAGCTTTTGGAGATCAAAAGAGCCTCCTACTCTTACTGTATTTCCTTCACATCTTGACATGATCCTAAAAAAAGCCTTAAAAAATATGCTTCTGCCATTATCATACTCCCTTGACCTCTGGCTTGAGCCGGAGAAGCATGTGTCCTAACTGCTTCACAGTAACTCAGGGTAACCCCAGGGTCATTATAGTATCATTAGCATTACAGTTTTGACCACCATCAGTCTTTGTACATTGTGCCGGTTCCATCCAGGCTTACACAAATCCAAAAACACTCCCTCTTGATGTGAGGGTAGAGATTTTCAATTAATTGAATAAAGTCTTCTTAGGTGTTACCCCAGACCCCAGAAAGGTCCCAATCAATACTTCAAAACCTAAAGTATCTGGATCCACTCTAAGTCAAACACGATCTATCAGTTTTCTCATCAGCCGACTCCTTTTTTGAGTAGTCTTTCTTACTATTCTGTGCCTCCTGCTTAATACTTCAGGATACAAAAAGCCTGTATGACCGCTGATATTGAGACCAACTATCTGGAAACATATGGACCAGATACAGTCCCCAAAGTCATGCCCATGACATGCCCAGACATATCCAAGAGTGTCCTCTACTCTAAGCATCTCCCAAGCCAATCCAGTTCACAGTTAAGATTAACCATGATATACATTTTTAGTTTACCTGTGAAATCTGAACATTAGATGAGACTAATCAATATCTTCAGTTCTTTCGCTGAAAGAAAAAAAAACTTAAAAATGCTGTACTTGAGACATAGAAAGGAGTAATAGGTATGGTAATTTCAAACACCTAAAACACAATCCTGATTGACTAGCAATGCAGGCAATGTGTATGTTAAGAGCTCAGAAGATACAATTTTCTTAACAAATTTAAATGAATCTGTCAATGCTTTACTTAAGTAAAATGAACTAAAAGGTATTTGGGTTTTCTTAATTTATTCATCTGTTTCTAAAGCAATTTGGTACCTAAACAATTTACAAACGTAAGTACACACATAGACACAATATACAATGCATACATGTACACATACATAAAAACAAAGATGGCATAGCTTTCATTTTCATTTATCATGTACTTTTTCTTAAAGTTAGGCTATTGAGCTGGGAATGGTGATGCATGCCTATAATCCTAGCACTCTGGGAAACTGAGGCAGGAAAATCACAAACTCAAGAGCAGCCTAATCAACTTATGGTTTAGTAATGCTCTGTCTCAAAACAAAAAAAAGGGCTGAGGATATAACTCGGTGTTAAATCCATGGGTTCAATCCTCAGTAAAACACACATGCATACACACACACAGAGTAACACACACATTAGACTATTGATAGGAACTTTTTTCACAAGACTAAGAAATCACTAATCATAAATTTGCACCTCCAAAGATATGATTGATTACTTGAAGTAAGGTAGAAAATTTACAACTGATAGGTGCAAAGCAGTTTCATGCACAGCCAGCCTGGGAAAGCCTTTCTTGAATTTCCAATTCTTATTTTAGTGTATGTGTCTTTTCTTTTGAAAACTCCACCTTCTATGGAAGCTGAGGGGGTTGTCTTACCTTCTCTACGATCTGGTGGGGTTTGTGTTTTGGATTAGCTCCCTTGGATTTCACCCCATGGCCAGTTCTTCCCACTGTCTTATACATTTCCTGGAACATGAGAAGACTCAAGACATTCATCAATTAGCCCAGTGAGCATCTTCCCTGATGAGTCCATAACATTCTTCGGACCCATGAATAAATTATTTTCCTATGAGACCAGTCCACATCCTGGGAGGTTTCTCCTAACACCAATCTGTAGAGTTGAAGGGAATGAGTGCCTCT